AATCTAAGAGAGGAATATTTGTAGGCTATTCAAGATGCAGAAGAGCTTATCGAGTATTTGATATCACAGCGAGAGTCATTCTTGAAACCGCAGACATTCACTTCAGAGAGAACAATAATGTCATCTCGGAAGAAAAACAAAATGATAATAATACGGACACTGACACATATTTCTTCATTCAGGAGGATGAACAACTGGACAATCATGTTCTATCAGATGTTGATATTGAAGAGCCAGCACCAGATACCATGATCAACAGACAGACAGAGTCAAGTGAATCAGACAGACCACAAAGAACTCGAACAATACCTAAAAGATTCGATGACTACGTTCTGGCTACTACGAATGAAACCATTCCGAAAGACTATGAAGAAGCCATCGCATGCGAAGACAAGAAACATTGGGAGAACGCAATGCTTGAGGAAATACAGAACATGTACTCGCATCAAGTATGGGAACTGGTACCTAGACCTGAAAACGCTAAAGTTGTCAAAAGTAAATGGGTGTTCAAAATATCTAAAGACCAAGAAAACAAAACTTACAAAGCTAGACTTGTTGCAATGGGATACAACCAAATCCCAGGAAGAGATTACAACGAAAGTTTCAGCCCTGTAATTAAAAATGCCACCCTCAGGACTATTTTGTCAATGGCAGCAACAAAAGATTCAGTCATTAAACTATTTGATGTAAAAGCAGCCTATCTAAATGGAAACATTGAAAATACAATATTAATGGAACAACTTGCTGGATTTGTCCAAGACAGAAACAAAGTTTGCAAACTCAACAAAAGTATTTACGGTCTACCTCAATCCGGAAGATTGTGGTATGAGAAATTCAGTCAAGTACTTCATGACTGTGGACTGGAAAAACTTAAATCTGATCCTTGCCTATTTAAATGGAAGAATGAAGACAAATACTTCTATGTAGGGATATATGTGGACGACTTTATCACTGTCTCAGATTCTGAAGATACCTCAAACAGATTCATCAATAAATTGAGACATCACCTGGAAATAAAGGATGTAACATGTAAAGGCATGTTTTTGGGAATCAAGATCATACAAGACAAGGAGGGAATTTCGCTACAGCAAAGCCACTATGTACAACAAATATTGCAGAAATATGGAATGGAAAATTGTAAGGAAGTTCCAACACCAGGTTCCAAAGAAATCAATTTGGATAATCATATTGAAGATGACAATTGTGAACAGCACACTTACCAGGAAGCCCTTGGAATGCTAATGTTTCTAGCTGTTAACACCAGACCCGACATTGCTTACATCACTAGCAAACTTTCACAGTACTCCAGACAACCAAAACAGATGCACTGGACAGCAATCAAAAGAGTTATGAGATACCTACGAGGAACAATTGACCTAGGAGTGAAATTTGAAAGAGGGAAGACTGGAATCCTGAAGTCCTACGCCGATGCCAGCTGGTCGACCACTCATGACGGAAAATCCTACGGCGGATATGTATTGAAGCTCGGCGAAGCAACTATAGACTGGAAAAGTAGTAAACAACCACTCGTCGCCCTCTCCACAATGGAAGCGGAAATGATAGCTGCTTGTGAAAGCTGCTGTCAAATCAAGTGGATAATAAACCTGTTACGAGAGCTGGAAGAATGGAATTTCATGGAAAAACCAACTGCGATCTATACAGACAGTCAGTCATTGATCAACTGGATCTCCAGCCCTAAACAAAGCAGTCGCTGTAGACATATCAACAGAAAGTACCACTTCTTGAGAGACTGTTATGAATCCAGAGACATCTGCCTTCTGTACAAGCCATCTCAGGACCTGGAGGCGGATATCTTCACAAAGGACCTATCCCGAGACCAGATGAAGAAACACCTGGAGAGCCTCAGCATCGTGGGAATAAAGCCAAAGTAAGGAGGGAATTGTTACGCAAACTTTGACTTTAATCATCATCGATGCGACGTCACTACTATGACGTAACTTCCAACTTCTTCCTTCAACCTTGCTGTTATTGTTTACCGCTAACTTGTCTTAACAATATATGTAATGGAACAAGTCGTTCCTTAAATAAATATATATTTGTTTTTATCTAAAGGGATGTCCTCGTAACTACAATATACGTGAGTACAAAAACAACCACAAATCCTCAAAAAGAATAACCGTATTTTGCTAAGCCTATATGAAATTTTGCAGGTCTTTGTTTTTCTATTTTGATATTAATTTGAAATATTTTTGATTCGGTGATGTGCTGCCATCTTGCACAGTTAATTTTTTCCACTATCATTTTGTCAACATAATCTTTTATGGGACAAACTTTGAAACTCTTCCCCCATTTTTTTTATCACTTCACTCTCCTTATTTCTGCATTTACTTCTTCACTGTTATATTTTGAGATTTTATCTCGTTTTATATTTGCTTTATTTTAAATTATATTTTCACATAGAAAATTCAAATATCAAAATAATGGTGATATTAATTTTATTTTTTTTTTCAAAAACAATTAAAACTTAGAAAATATAGATGAATGACCCATTCAACAAGGGTCTACAATCGCAGCCAGTACTAAGGCGTTTTATTTATTTATTTCGTCTCAGTTTAAAGGATTTACATTCGAGCACAGCTCGCGAGTCATCATGTCTTGGCTATTTTCACTTGCAGGAGGGCAGCTGGTGATGAGCTCCTAATTTAGATATTTCAGCATTTATTACAATTTTATCATGATAACAATAAATTCTTTGGAACTTTAAAAATATGCATAATTTCTTTGTGTATGTGATGTTGATCAGAGATTATTTTAAACCAATAAAATTTGATAAAGACTTGCAAAAATATAAGACAATATAGCTATGAAGATATTTTAATATATTGGAAGAATCCTTTCAAATTTAAATTACAATAAAATGGAGTCTCCAAGGAAAAATTTCTTATTTTAATAAATGTCTCCCAAGACCTCGAGTACTGTAAACGTTTGTATGCTCCTTTAGAAGGGTTCCCAGTACCCGAGGGCTTAGAGAACATTTAATAAAATAAGAAACTAATCCTCGGAGACTGCTGCGTTTTATTGTAATGAAGATATTTTAAAAAAATGTTGTGCTTTGCTCAAATACTCAAGTTGACTCATGTTAGGAACCAGGAAATTGTCATTTGTTCTGACTTTGAATTCCTATACAATCATTCCTAATATTTCAAAAGTAAACTCCCAATTGGATCGAGTTTTTAAATTATGTATCACCAACAGACAAAAATTAATTATATTTATATATTTCGTCTCA